AATAAATGTTTCCAAGAACAGAAAATGTTGATAGGCAAAATTACTTAAATAACACTAATCCACATTACCTGACTGGCTTTAAAACGACAGGTTTTAGCCATGTGTAACCTTACCTTACTATTGCAATGCCATATATCACTATTATCACTGTTGAACTTTATAAAATTTAATTCTTTCTGACAACCAAATCAGTATGACTTCATTTCGAATCTTATTCATCTTCTGACTGGCAACAGTCAGTCTCTTTCATATTTTCAAACATTTCATTTTCCCTTCAAGTAGAATATGAAAGATCTTTTGACTCTCCATTTAATTTCTTTCCAAACATAGAGATCTTTAAACTACTTATAGCAGCTCATATGAACTGTGATCAAGATTTGACCGAATAGTTCCAAAGTAATTGGACGCTGAGTGAGAAGTAGACATTTGTAAAAAAATTATATCTGTAAAATCTCAGCGAAATTGAAATGATTAATTCCAACGTTTCCTGCGTTCGGCAATCTGGTTCGAACTTCTTCAGGGAAATTAATCAAAATTAACATAACATCATGACTCATATGATTAGACAAAACAATTTTTTTTTAAACAAGAGATGTCCTTTTATATGCAAACCTCTGTTATGTTAATTTCGATTAATTTCCCCGAAGAAGTTCAGACCAGATTGCCGGACCCAAGAAAAGTTGGAATTAATCACTTCACATTTCGCTGAGATTTTACAAACATAATTTTTACTTATAGTAACACCAGTATTTCAAAGGAGTTCAAATAATTTGTGATTTAAAAAATGATTTTATTTTTTTATAAACCAAATTCAAAAAGTCAGTTTCTGGGACTTCTACTGAATTACATAAGCAAGTAGACAATATAAACCTCAATAATTGTTGGATTTAAACACACGTATTACACTTACTCACTACTTACTTACTTACACATTGGTTGCTTGTTCTAACTACCTGAATCGTATTAAAAATTGTACTTTGATCAATAGTTTACATTATAAGGTTTACACCATCGTCATTTTATGGTAAGTAGACTTTAATTTCTTGTTGAAAGATTCAATGAGTACAGAAGTATAGTATCGAATGAGAGTTAATCAACACATTTTTCTCCTACCAATTAGTTAATAGGACCTTATCATTATGCTTAACAGTTTATGGTTTCATTTAAAAAGCGTTTAAAGGTGAAATTGTTATAGAAAAGGGGAAAGGAAATAATAATTATATATAATTAAAAGATACTATCGAATACCACTACTACTATTACTATCACTATGGATCAATACACGATTACTGAAAATCTTTTGTTTTTGTTTAAGAAATATTTCTCATTAAAACATTCACAATAAGAGGAAATTATTTTAAATATTATAGGATGAATATAAAACTGATCATAGCTGGATAGTTGAAAGAAACAAACTGCATTTGATATTTATGCATATAGGTAGACATCTGCTTATTCGTCTAAGTAATTTTAATTGGTTGGAGGATTTCATTAAGAGCTGACATCGGTTAGAAAACCATTGGAAAACCTGCAGGGAGCAATGCAAGACAGCTGTTTCCTCCGATCTGGTTTTGGGATCTACATCAGCAGGTAACTGCCTGAATAGAGCCAGTCGCTATTGAGCTAGTGACGTGGGATTCTAGTGGGAAGCCATGACCAGTAGAGTGCAGCAGGTTGAAGATGAGGCAGTAACTCATCGAAGAAGATATTGTGAAGTGGTCGCTCTATTTCATGAATTGGCAGAAGTTGGAATTCATGGACTGGTCATTGGATCGCGTCCCAGTGACTTAATGGTCTACGAGCTAGCTCGCCTTGTGACCAGGAGGTCCTGGGTTTGAACCCTGTTGGTGAGTGTGTACTGACGAAAAGTCTGAAACTAGATCGGAGGAAAGAGCTGTCTGATAGTACTCCTTGTAGGTTTTCCAACGGTTTTCTAACTGATGTCAGCTCATGATGAAATCCTCCAACCAATCAAACAAAATCCCCACAAAACCAATACTTGATAAGTAATTTTAATAACAGAGACTGTGTTGGACGTAATCACTCTTAAACAAGAGGTCAAACTCTAGTTTAGTGAGCTTTATTTGATTCCAACTTTTGTTTGGTATTTTAAACTGTTATTAGAACATTCTGGATTTTTTAAATAGATGAATCATAAGTAGTGTTCCATAAACACAGTGAACACTACAGTTTAGCATTTCTGTTGAGCATACACGGGTTCATTTTTTGAAAAGGACTAATATCAGGGTAAATAGCTGACATTTATGAGTTACTGATATGACTAACAGTGTAATTTCTCCTACAACTACTAGTTTAATATATCTTGGGAAAAGTTATCAGGCTAAATCTCTGATTTCTTAAATTGCTACTACTATGCATTCCATGTAGTCTGAATGGGACATAACTACCTCAGCGCCATATCTCCTTCACCATCACTTTCAGCTGTTTTCTCTCTGTTCACCTAAATTCCTGTCTTCTCTGCCTTTTTTACTAATTTGCTGGTGCTCTCTTATATGTCTTCGAGTTTGTTCGACATGAGACATAGATTATGCCCTGAATACAGATCTTGTAGGATCTTTTTGTAAGCCCAATGTATGACCGTCTTCTTACATGATCCAGTCTACCACAGTCAGAAAGATCATCGGTGATAGTGGACAGCCCCGTCTTTCTTCTGTCTTCACTTCATAAACTTCACTGAGCTTTCCATTATGAATCATCTGGCATGCCGCATCATCATACAGCTGGTGAATGAGATGTTGAGATGGTTGCCAAACTACTTCGTAGTGGACGCTGTTTAAACTCTTTTAAAAGTCAATGAAGTCCAGGTAGAGAGTTGACTGGCGTTGTAGGCTGTGTTCGATGATGATGCCTACTACTGCAATCTGATCTGAGTATAATATTTTTTCCTGAATTCAGCTTGTTACGGCAGAAGTCTTCCATTCATTCTTAAAATATTATTCTGGTAACTGAAGCAACAAATGTAACTAGTATTAATTGTAAACTAAACACAAACATACTAAAATTGCTGATATTTGATGTGGTTACTACAGTTACCCGAAATAGTTTCTCCGTATACCACACTATGAGCAACACTTGCTGCCTAGAAGCTAGTGGTACAGCCAAAATGGTAAATAGAACGGAGTCCTGAAACACACTTTTTATATATTTTATCGAAACTGAAACGTCTTAATCTTCAAAACGTTATGCATTGCCGGTACACGAAATTATACTTATTAAATTTAAAAATTCTTTTATTCCTTTACGTTCCCAGTGGAACATGGGGCTTCAAGCTAGAGCCAGCTTGAAGTTTCGATAGCATTGGTGTTTATTTTTACGGGATGGGGTTGCCAGCCTTATGCCAAACCTTCCCTCTTTACCAGTCTTATTACTGGCTTAGCGAGGTAAAGGAGTGCGTTGGCCGGGGATCGAACCCCAGACCAAATGTGTGGTTGGCCAGCATTCTGTCGCTGTGCCACCGACGCACAAATTTAGAAAGTATGTCTTACTAAAAAATTGCCGACTATGATCTGATCACATTCTAAATCATAATTTCCACATGTAGTTGGAAAATATCTGCTAAAGTTTCAGCATAAATAACAATAAATTCTCATTCACATGAAATAGGCCAAAGAAATTACAAAATCTGGGAAGGTAAAAGACATGAAGACTCAGTATTATTCTGTGGAAAGTAAATCAGTAGCCATTCAGAAGAGATCCTAGATATTGACTGTTAGTGACAATATACCCTTATTTTTCACTGGTTTTAAAACGAGATCACCAGCTAACAGAGAAATCTACTGAACGCTTCAGTACTTGAGTCACAGTAAGAAACTATCCAGCCAGGGTTACGACTTATCACCACCGACAACGAAGCACCATGAAAAGCAAGAATTACTCACAACGATATGCAGACTTCACAACAGGACGAATACCATGTAGTGTTCAAGTTAAAAATCTGTGGATTAGTGTAGATGGTTTCTAAGTGATCACATTTCCTGATAGTGTATCACCTTTATTTAGACTAATATATTTATTTCAAATTTTTTTAAAAATCCATATCAACATACAATCTGTTAAGACAACTTATAAGAACTTATTGAAACATAATCCTTAATGAATGACACAAATAGAATATTCTGTTACCATGTCAACTCCTCATACTAGTCAGAATATAAAGAAGTTTTTTTATTTTACAAGTCGATTAAATAACACAGCTTTACTAAGTATATTTCATTTTAAGTGTTTTTATATGAAGTTATGGTATAATCAGCAGTTTGATCTCAGCTCATTTAGTAATGACTGGATTATACATCATGGAATTCTCTTAGAATGTGGCCACTACTTTTATGTATTTCACTTCTATAAATAGGTGGCAGTAATCATCAGCCTGCTATATTTGTTTAGGCTGAGCACAACAAACGGAAATGATCCTTCATAAGGCCTCAGGTGATCAACTAATGCACGCGAATCAGTAATACAGAAGTTGAAATGTATTCCGAATAGCCTAGCTAAAATGTGCAACTTCAGCATAAATATAACCACTAACCATTCTGTGTGCGTCGGTGGTATAGCGGTTAGGACGCTCGCCGACCACGCACATGGTCCGGGGTTCGATCCCCGGCCACAGGCGCACTCCTTTACCTCGCTAAGCCAGAAATAATGCTGGTAAAGAGGAAAGGTTGGGCATGAGGCTAGCCACTCCATCCTGTAAAATAAATACTGCTACAGAAACTTCAAGCCACCATCTTGAAGCCCTATGTTCCATTGGGGAACATGAAGGAAAGAAAAAAACCATGCTGTGCATCTCAACTGTCATAAGAATAAAATACTCTTAGGTAGAAAAATTTATCTCGGTCGAATTTTCTACTTATAGTGTGACTGTCCAACAATATATATACCTTTATTCAAGTTATAAAAAACTAATCAGATAAAATCTGTTGTTAGTAAAATATGATTTTAAAAAAGATCATAGTTAACACAAAATAAGATGAAATAATTACTTTCAGTAATTTTAGTCAAACGATTCTTTGACAAATCCAAAGTTCTCAACTGTGTTAGATTTCCAATACAGTCTGGTATCGGTCCTTGTAGTTGATTGCTTTTCACTACTAACGTTTGTAAATACTAAATTTTCAAAGAAAAATTAAAGAAAAATATTCAATGAATAAATTGGCATAACATGTAAGTTATTCCAATAAATACAAATAAAAAGTAACATCCATTGATGATGAAAATTTAAACCAGACGGAAAATAACTGACAAGCACCTACATGTGTTAGTCCCATAACGCAATATCGAATGGAAAAAGGTTGAAGCTACTGAATGAACATATGCAGACTTTTACTAATTTAATGTTTTCAGGTAAGTAAAGACAAGAAACTTTTGATGAATAACTGGTCATGGTGACTTAAACGGAATTTCTTTAGCTAGTTCTAATGTATGTCAAACAAAAGACTGATATCTGTCCTTTAATACGTTGCCTACTGCTCGTGTTCATTCTTTAACCCCTTAAAATAACAATATCGTGCCTTTTAAACTAAATAAAATGGCATATGAGAAAAGAGGAATTTTCAGTAAATCGTATAAGACTGAAATGAAAAACAGTTCTAATGCAAATGTTAAATAAGCAGAGGAACAGAATACGCTATCACTTGTATTCACTTCGGCAGAACAAAACCTTAAAAGTCCTAATGAGCCACGTACAGTTTGTCCTAATTAAAGCCTTTTAGTGAATAATCTGTAATCGAAATTTATCCAAAGATAAACTGGACTTCAGCTAATCTACTTTCTAAACAATGACAATTAATTATACCTTAATTCACACCACTGAATTATGCTGGGAGTGTTAATTTTACGACAGTCAACTTTGTCCAAGTCTAAAAGTTAGCCAAATTGTAATTATGGAGCTGCATTAAAATTAGAAAGCGTATTACACCAAAACATTACATTCACACACATGATTTGAGGACTCACAAAGAAATGAGTTCTTTGAATATCACGGTGGATAAAAGATTATCGCGTCTGAATCTATTTCCAGGATCCAAATGCTTTAACCTACTCTGTTGTTTAATAATAAACTATTTGCTTAAGCACCTACTTGAGAGAAAAAACATTTTCAAGGAGACTAAGCTTTACTTTCCTCAAATGATAACATAGAACATGACCAATAATGACTAATGTATGCAGCATTTTTATCCCACCCTAAATGAATATCCCTTTCAGAAAACTTATAAAAATGTACACAGAAAGTTAGGCAGGCATCAAGAACTCATATGACATAACCAAGTCCAGTTTCATCTGAAAAAGTAGTGAACACAAAAGTAATAATAAAACTGAGGGAAAACAAACAAATGGACTGTAAAAGGTTGAATAGTTCTGTAAGTGGGCAAATGGTAAGGATATTTTTATGTATCAGTCAAAACACGGGAAAGCCTCAGAAGTAACCTTTATTGAGTACAAACTGATATGTACAATACAAAAGTCCTGACCCCTAATCAATATATTTACGAAACTAGGAAAAAAGAACATCAGTTAGAAGTATAGCTGAATTGCTGTTTCTGGTACTCAATGTGGGCGGGATAAAATCAGTCTACAGTCAAGTGCTGTCTGCTCGCAGAGAGAAAATCCATCATACCTTTCAAAATTTCGGAAATCTGATATATTTCCAAAATAAAACCCAGCACATTTTTGCAGCCAATAAAGTTCGAGAACAAGAATGATTTTTGGAACACTTATAAATAAATATTTGTACGAAGGTCGTCAATGAAAGCATCTTATTCCCAACCTTCAAGCACAGCAATTTTCATTTGAATTTGCCCGTCACTAACAGCGCACCTTGAAGTGTAAGTGCTTTATAGGTATTTGCAAATATTACCATAAACCAAAAAGACGGAATGGCCTTTGACTGATATCCACCCTTTTGAATGGTATGTTGAGAGCAAATCAGTTTTAAACTGTAGACGTCGTATTTATTTTAATTTAACTCTTATCACTTTGTAAAACAAAACTTTTGCCACCAACGCATCGGTTTCTACTTACTTGTAACCAAGGTGCTTTAACAGTAAAACCTGCGATATATGACTGACAGAGCTATGAGCATGAAAGTGTTTTCAATAAATACACGGACAACCTGCTGCAATGAGAAATTTCAAGATGATTTACGCATTTTTGGGTGATAAAATCTAGATCATTTTCATGTATCAAGTGTGAAGCCACTTAAGTACTGGATAGAACCTAATCTTCAACACTGAAATAGCAGTGTATATTATTTAAAAAATTATATTGACCAGTTAGAAATGGAAATAAATAAAATTCAGAGTGAATCTGAATTAACCTAGCGGCAAGTACAAGTTACAAACCTTATTAATTGGTCAATATGATTTCACGTCTGACATTATTTAAGTAAATGGACTGAATTATTTCTACACATCCAAAGAATAATTATCAACAAAAACAATGAAATTGTATATACCTACACATAAATTGCCAACGGACGAAATATCTGTTAGCTTGTTGTAAGTAAGATAAAGCTGTTTCATAGACGTTAATCTTGTCAGTACCGAGGGAATGCAACCCTCTAATCTGTTATGTCTAACATCGAGATGAGTTAGTTTAGAACAACATGAAAGTTCATCAGGTAGAACCGTAAGGGAATTTTCTTGGAGCCACAGCTACGAATAAACAATTTAGAATAACTGATATCATACTCGCTGAAGGTTTTGTAAAAGCCCGATCTCAGGAGGAAGGCTTGTCAATTTGTTGTCGTAAAGAAAAAGTTCTATTAAATCGCCAAGAATACCAATGTCAGAAGACAAATTAACAAGGCCCAAAGAGGATAAATCCAGTATTAGACGACTTTTTGAGTCCAAAATCACCTTGCTACCATCCTAAAAGGTTCGTTATTAACAACCACAAACACACTGTATGATTGTGTTTCCTTGACTTCGTCAGACTGATAATTTTCCCGTTGTCATCCTGAAGATAAACGCCCTTCTTAAGAGTTTGTGCACCTGGTGATCCAGAGACGACGGGAATCGTTGCTGAACCTGATTCTGAATTCAAAACAGGATGTGAACCTGTACCTTAATGTTCACAAATTTTATGAAATTATGTGCGACTTTACTTCTGATATAAGTCTTTAACGACTTGTACTGCTTATTAAAAAAGCTGCTGTTTAAAGTTCTTGATTTTCCGTCTGCCGAAGTGTATGAACGTTGTCTCTAACTTATTTAAAAAAGATAAAAGCATCATACCGGCATACTTCAGTTATTTTACCACGTTTTGTTGACCTTCACATTGAAACAGTTCACCAATAGAAAAAAACAAAAGTATTGTGCGTATGGTTTCCGCTATTATAATCATCAAAATATTTGCGTGTGTTTCTCAAATTTCAAATACCTAATTGTCCATGAAAATCTGAAGTGAATGAAGTGTGATTTCAGACACATATTTTAAAAAAATAGGTGATTTTAGATTCAGATTTCTTGATTGGGGATTGAAGGATTGATACCTGCTTTAATCCTTTTCCAGAAAATTTCTGCATTTGTCTAAAACATTTTTGATGAATCTATTCAGGGCGCTGACACCAATTCTTCTAGGAGTCGGTTCCAGAAGTGGATAACTCGGTGTGAGGACAAATACTCCACAAAGATATAGTGTCTCCTTGGCTTTTGAACTCTCCTGCTATGTCCTACAAGGTGTCTCGACCTGGTGGGAAGAAAAAGAGAGAAAAGGTCATTTCCGTAGTCACTATTTAAAATTCTAAATATTGTAATTAGATTTTCCTGCCTATGGTATGACAGGGAGGAGAGATTCAAACTGTTCAGTCTTTCCTCGCATGATGAATTAGTCAGACCAAAATTCGTACGTGACGCCTTTCTTTGGGCGCTTCCTAGAATATGTGGGTCTCCTTTAAGACAATGACCGGCTGCTTGGATACAGTTTTTGAATCTCGACCACCCCCCCCCCAGAGATGTATGTAAGGAGATGAACATATCTCTGGTGGTTCTAGTAAAGGCTCTGAGAACTGCCCATAAAGGTCTAAAACTACGTACATACACTGCGTGAAAATGTGCTGTGTTTTCTAAGTCGTGACTTACTATAACACCTAAATTCAAATGAGTCTGAACTGATGGAAGTGTTATTCCCTCTAGTTCGTTGAAGCTGGTGCTTGAGTATCCAATTCGTATGGTTGCACATTTCGTTACTTTGATCGACAGCAGCCACTCTCTGAACCACTCTGACATATTGTTGAGGTCTCCTTGCGACATAAGCAGATCACTGTCGTTCTTCGGATTCCTCTAAATTTTTAAGTTATCTGCATTTAGAACACGTGAGCACAGATGAATCGTTGATATGCGAAAATAAGAAGGATCTGAGTACGTTGCCTTGTGATACTCCACTACGTGCTGTTACCGAGGAGAAGAGTTTTCAGTTGATCCTGGTTCTTTGCCTGCTACCCATGAAAAATTCCGTAATACAGTTCAGTAAGCAGTCTTTCATCCAAGACTTCCCAACTTCATAAGTAGTCTTTTGTGGGGCACTTGATCGAAGTCCTTGCCGAAGTCTATGAAGACGACATCGACGGATCTTCTTTTGTGCTCTGACTTGATCAGCTTTCTCTTGCAGTGATAAGGTCTGACAGGCATGACAGGCTTCCCCTAAAGCCATTCTGTGCTCTGGATAACAAGTTGTTTTCCAGATATTCCATGATAGCTTCCTTGATGATTCTTCCTAGTGCCTAGATTAAGGTGCTGGTGAAACTAATAGGCCTGTAGTTTGAGGGGCAATGTCTTTAACCTCCTTTGTCGAGCGGGGTTACCATGGCACCTTTCCAGTAACGCGACAACACTTCATTCAGGTGAGGCAACTTGAGGATCGCAGTCAGTACGCTGGCTATATGAGCTGATACCTCATTTAGAAGCCTTGGATGAAGATTACCAGGACCTAATAACTTCCCTGAATCTTTGGATGGTTGGGCACAACGTCTCGATCGAACCTAATGAAGTCTATCCTATATTCCTCTTATGCGGCCAGACCTGATGTACTGAGGAGTGACCAATCCAGTTTAAAGATTTTGGAGAAAAAGTATGCCGTTGCTTCTGCTTTTTCTCTATCACTTCCAACTGCGTAGTTGTCAACAGTCAGGCTAGAAACCTTACTGGATATATGGTTCGTGAAGCTCATGTACTAGAGCATTTTGAGCTGGATGCACTTAGAACTTCATCCATGATTGGTGAGTTTCTGCAACAGCAATGGTCCTATGGATATTGTATAACTTTTTGGTCTCAAAAGTCCCAAGTGTGATAAATTAGTACCAGCATTTATGTTTGCATCCAAGTTACTCAAGTATCTCTCTGTTTACGCACTGCTGACAATTTTTCCGTCCCCTTGGAACAGACAGAGGGATGAAAGGCTTGGTTACCTGAGCGTAAAGTTGCTCAAATTGGTTTCATGTCGAATCTACTTGGGATTCCGGATTTATGTTCTAGTTCAGTGAATTGGCTTCTGAGAAGATAGCATTTACAATAATAATAATTGGTAGTAACAGTTTATATTTCGTATAAACGGGTAAGTTTACAAGAAATGCATGCCATTTTTACAGACATGGTCAGTCATGATGTATCATAAATTAATACTTTTTCAAAAGTTCAAATTATTCGATAACCTACAAACAATCAGAACAGGTTCTTATAAATGTTAAATTGTAAACCAGGCTTCTCTTGGAGCTACAGACTTATGGATTGGTCACCCCACTGGTTAGAGGTGGTTTCCGTAGATGTTAAAGCCTGACGGGAAACAAGGAGGCTTTAGCTTTGCTACCTGTGATGAGTAGTTCCGTCAGAGTTTCCACATGGGATACTATGGTGCGAATTTGGCAGCGTCCTGGGTAAGAAGCATTGAGCTATGCGGTTTATTTTCGTGACGTAATGAGGTTGTCCCTTGTACTGTGGCATTTGGCAGTATGCAGATCCGTCTGGCGTATCAAGTCATCATCTTTTCATAATTTCCTACTGACATCAATTTATACAGCCCCTCTTCGTACTCTTCTAACGAGACTTACATCCCTTTTTAGTTGTCGTGGGGTAGTTTCACTGAGTGCGTCGGTGGCATAGTCTTACAAATGTTGATACATGCAGGTTTTATCTGGCTGCATGAAGATCCCGGTATGATTGATTCTAGATGGTTATCGAGGAAATGCTTTGTTTTAATACCATAAACTAAGTCTCTTGCATAATAAGCGCATATATCTAATATGTCTGTTAGGAGTAGACGTAGACCACATTGTCTCATAGGTCCTGTGTGTGTGAACCGCCGTATGGGTGAAACATACTCAACGCTGAAGACTAATCCATTTTTCGCAAACCTTGTTATCATCGTTTTTAGGCAACACTGGAACTATTATTTTTAAAATATCAATAACAATCCCTTTATTCAACAACCTCTAAAATTCTTGTAATTCATCCACTTCGACGCTTTCCTCTTTAGAAATCATTTTAACTATATTATGATCATATATATTGGCTAAGCCATTTCCACTGCCACTTAATACCTTTACCCGTAAAATAAATACGACCGTACAGCTTGAAAATGTAGTCATCGAAAAGGAATATTTCTTCACTGGACAGAAACTTTGTTTTTTCCATATGAAATGATATATCTACATGAATAAAATTTTCTTATTAAATCTCTCCATATCGGTCACGTTTTGTCTTTTCCATTTATTTCTGTCAAGTGTATATACACACTCAGTGTAATACTTGTCTGGTACACAGTCTTTGTGTCTTACTTTTTATTTACTCAATCTACTCATCACCTCGATTCCCCCTGAAATCACCTGTTGTCGATTTCTACGGAGCGTTTGCCAGACGAAACAAAATTTGTAATTCCCGGTAACACTGCCGTCTTTGTTGAAATCATGCATTTACCCATAATAAACTGACGTAATCCAACCAGTTGCGTTCAGCAAAGGTGTAGCAGTCGAGGGAACAGATAGTACTGAAATGCATCAGGGAAAAATGAATGTTTGGAAGCACCAAGAAGAAAATGTCAAAATATCATGTGGTTGATACAGGCTAGTCGGAATAATATTGGGTATTGGGTTCGTAAATTCGTACATTTTTATTTTTTCTCACTCTTTCCTTGATTTCCAGGGGGTGTTGCGGCATAGAAAAGGCCTGGCAAAGAAACTGACTAGTGATATGTACTACAGTGCTGATATTACAGTCTCATGACAGCTTTCAGAAAGGCATTGTACATTGCAACGACCTTAGTACCCGTCCGGCCATATCTGGCGGGATATTTGAAATTCCGGATCCTAATGGCCTCAGACAATCCGGAAATGAACGGTAAGTCCACTCATATTTTAGTGTCTTCAAATCCTTAGTGTTCCTCAGTGTTTTTAAAATTAACTTTATCAATAACCTCGATTCCATGTAAAAATTTTATTTGGGGTTGTGCCGAGTAATGTGTGAGACTCCTATGTCGTAAATCTTATATGTCTAGTGTTACGTTTATTCATTTTTGCTGACTGTAATTATCACTAGGTGGCCGCAATTAAATTAAGTTAGCATTCTGTTAGCAAAGCAGCTTTAGCTAATCAATGTATAGATATACATATCTATACATTGATTATGTTTATGTATATACATTATTCACGTGTACATAATTAGTTTGTGATTCACATTCGCAGTTGCGTTGCTTTACATCCAGCCAATAAAGTGTGTGGGCCCATCTAGAAGTATCCTCGGTAGCCTAGCATTTTTGCTATAAATTACACCTATAGGTTTATTATCTAAGTTCGTTGTAGAAATTCCTATGTGCCAGTGTTTCTGGGGGAAAAATTCACTTACTAATAGTTTACAGCAATAATTTTTCGCTAGCTCATCGTTGGAATTGCAATTTCTGGTAAGCCGTAGGAGAACAGGAGTACGTTTCTGTGGTCTTTTATTGGTGTTTTTATAAGGACGTCTCGATATTGTACTTTTTTGAACTACATAATACCCCACCTAGTTAAAACTTAGTGAAAGACAAAGTTCGCTTGCTGTAATGATTCCTCATAAAAGGCGAGGTAATCGTCAGCAGTTTTTGTAGTCCGCAAGATTTGGAACTCGATAATCAATCCTTGCTTACGAAGATGTTTTCCATGTGTGAAGCCGTATTCATCCAACAACAGTAGTGTTTAAAGATATCAGCAGTATTTTGCCAGTTTTGCACCGGAAATATAGATTTCTGTGGTGGTCACAGCGGTCATTTTGACAAACTTATAAACCTCTGCGATGTTGAATCAAATAATTCCAACGTTAAGCTTTCCGATGTGATCCGAAATTTCCCATAAAAAAGATAAGAATAAAAAATGTGTGTAAGTGAGAAGTCAAAACTTCAATTCAGACTCGTATAAACCAACTCTGAATTGTGAATACTCTCCAAGATGAAACTATTAATCCCTCTGATCCTTATCGTTAATAATGTGTGTACTTTTACATTAATCTTTAGTAAGTGTCTGAATAATAGTCATGGTGACACTGCGGTTTGAGGAACCGTACCTCTTAAAACTATGCGTGTGGTGTGTTTTATTGCATACGTTTGTTTCACTGTATCTACGATTCCCGCAAATATTATTTTTATGTCCGTTTTTCACTCGGTTCTTTATGCATGAAACTTTTACGTTAAATCTTGATCTAAAAACAAACCCGAGTAAATAAGGCAGGTTTACAGTCTAGGCAAGAGTGCATTGATCATATCTCCACAGTCTGACACATTCTGTTACTGGTTTCTGCTCAACATCCACTTACCTATCCTTGTCCGTCTTGGTTGCCCACTGTCCTCATTTTCGTTTGATTTCATTATGGACGTACTAATGGAATTGACCTTAATTAAATAGCTATATAGGGGTCGACTTGTTACCAGACTACACTCTTTTTGACTTGAAGTATACGGATGATATTGTTCTTTTAGATGCAGAATCCTCTGGACATCTCAGGCAGAAATCTGTTTCACAGGCCATGTGTTCCTGTCAAATGTAAGATGCTGCTGCATGACTGGCCCGAAGCGACTCCTAGTTTTAATATATTTAATATATATACATATATATATCATGGCACTATACCACTTATGCAAGAACTTTTGGCGAGTCTTATTCTGTGTTCATCATTGTTCTTATTTAATTTCACAATAGAAATGCTGATGGAATTTGATGCTTCAAGAATTGACTAGTTACTAAAGCAAAGTCAAGACAAAATTCAGTCTTCTAAAGATTTAGCAAATGTTAACGTTTTGCATGGGATTTGCCCCTGTGAAATGTAAGATGATTTCGACCTTTAATTTGTGAATAAGTATTCAAACAGTTGAGTGTGTTGGCCGCTCCACTCATGTGGGGAGTTGCACAAGCAAGAATACAAAAGCCGGCTTGTCATTTTTTTGGCTACGCTATCTTTAGCCCCGAGGTAAATGCTGATGGCGCAAAAAATTAGCGGTTGCTATCGTAAGTGCCTCCGTTTAGTCACTCATATAAGGGTGAAACAACATAGTGGTTATGAGGTCCAGACTAGTGTTAGGTAAAGAAGTTAGGTCAATAGATAAGGTTATGAAGCCTTACCAGTCCAGATGGCTACGGCATGTATTCTGCGTTTCGCGTCATCATCTTTCTCGACGGACAATGTTCACTACTACATAACTAGATTGGAAGAGTTAAAGTTTGTCAGACAAAAACATAGAATGACCTTTATTTGTTGGTTTAAAGCACGTTAAGAGGTGTAGACTGTGTCAGCATTCTAAGAATAATTAGTTGTGAAATGCTGATGACATCGTTTATAGTAGTCCACATTTGTGCAAACGTATTCACTTTGGTATCATGGAGATTCTGAAACGTCTTAGTAATTTTCATTTGCCTGCTCTTCCTTTCATAACTTTTCGTCCATTGTGGTTTAATTGCATTACTCCACTGTTATGTGGTTTTTTTTTCTAATGTGTGACAATCTGAGCTTATGCAAAGTTTTACGGTGATAAGTCACTCAGGTGTTTACTTTGTTCATACGTGTTTTGTAAAATCATGTTAGGTGTCAATCCAGTTACAATCGCTTTCATAAGCTGTGCTAAGTGGCTACTGAGCTCAGCGTGACAGCCCGAAATATAGAATGTGTTTTAATATTACTTGATTCATTCATCCCTAACCCACCAATTAGGCTGAAGTAGTGGTGCACTGATGATTAAAGTTACCACATAGTGTTACTACTCAATAATGAAAATAAATATATAGTTCGTTGATGGTTTTAGTTTTTCCTGATTTATTTACACTCAAATGGTAAAGCGATAAAGTTTATATTGTAGTTAAGGCATAATATTTTTCATTAAAATATTGTGTAAGTAGCCATAGACAAGAATTAAGTTTCTCTTATCATACTTATTTTTTGACACGAGTGGGCTTTTCGGAGGCAAAGTATTTTTTATCTTTTCAAGCTAGAATTATTAAAACTTATGCAATTTCTTGACTACGATGCAAGAAATGTAAATGCATCAAACTTTTTCCCTAATCTTTACCTTCTGCCTAGACTGTAATTGGATGTTGATAAGAAGCACCTTTGTCTTGGCCACCTAGTGTTTCAAAGCATTTCACTAACCTTGAGATGCTTTTTTCTCTTATTTTCTCTTAGATTCCTGGATTGAAGTCACTCCACACAGTTTGGGTTACAGTCCGAACGGTGACTTCCAGGCTTTCGGTGATAAACCTCAAACACCAGGGTTTTCAGAACCTAGTGGTCTACATACAATAGTCGAAGAGCAGTTACTAACTCGTTTCCTTACAGAGGCTCAAGAACATTCAGGCAGGACTAGTGATGCTTCCCCACCTAGTCCACCGTTATCATATGATAGTTTGAACACTGGGGAAACATCTGAACAAATTCGCTCTCCTCAGCAAATTACAAATGCAGCCAAAGTTCCAACAACCAGTTACCCGAATGATTTCCCAGTCACAAGTTCTGGAGAGTGGGCCAGTCGACCAGAAATCGGAGCGTAAGTAATCTTATTCAATAGTGTTATCATTCCATTTCTAATTAGAATGATAGATCAGTGATTTTGTTATCGTATTGTTATATTGTTCTGATGACGTCCTATTCTACAGATGTCCATTCGTTGTCAAAGTGCTTTTCAGTGCAGTGCATATTCTTAAATAGTATGTTGTGTTTTATTCAAAATCAGTATTATGTACAAGCATCCGTTCAGCTTATTGTGCAGATTTTTAACTTATTTTTGTAAGCAACTCAGTTTCTATTCAAGATCCAGTAGTTCTAATTGTTATGTAAATGTTTAGCTTTGAACTGCTATGTAGTACATTATATCTTATTTTGAAGGTTAACGTATCATTGCACTAACGGCTATATTGCCAGTTTTGATCGTTGAATGACTAATATTGACTATTGTTTATTCAAAAATTCAAGGTATTCCGCTCTGATATGCCAAACACAGAGTTCTAAAACAAGTCCTTCCGGGTCTCTCAATCGTACATCTCCCAACAAGGGTTCGTGGTATCTTCGTAATTCTGGTTTCATGAAAGCGCGTTTTATTGGTTGGCTTCTTGACCGTATCCCAAATATATTAAGCCATGCAACTACATTCCTACTGGGAGCAATTACGTAAGTACTCCAAAGTGTATTTTACTCGTATTTCCCACTTAAAAATGCAAAGTTAGTGTATCATTGATATAACAAGGTCTCACAACTAATGTATTTTCTCGCCTATCAAAATCGAATCATTTTCTCAGTTCCCTTCTTAGATCATGTTTATGACTTTTGTAATAAATAAATAAAGCAAATGAAATGTTATACAACAATAAACACGAAGGTAACGTGTGAACAAATTTACACCAGGGAGTCCAATTCCAAGCTATGTTATCTGGAAGCTCTAGCCGTACGTTCCGGTGGTCCTATAAACTCTAATTGTGAATGATTAAGTCCATTTTGGATAATATTGTATTTTGATAAATCACACAGTGTTGTACAGTAATATTAACTGATGACGTTTCAAGCACAATTTATTGCCACTCATAATCATATCAAGTCACTCACACAACTTCTTGCTTCATTGATATTTTCAAGAGTTGGTTTGTAAGGATTAAATTTGTTTTTACGGGTTTGACCACGGATTGATATCAGTTAGAGAACCATTGGGAACCAGAGAGTACTGGACAGCTGCTGTTTCATCCTAGTCTGGGAATCATCGGCAGTACGCACCCACAGCCATGGTTCAAACCCAGGACCTTCCGGTTACAAGGCAAGCTCGTATACCATTCAGCCACTGGGACCCGACTCAATGGCCCATGAATTCTAACTTCTACCAGTTCGTGATTTAGCGCGACCACCAACCAATGTCATCGGTGGAAAATCCATCATCACACTTGACTGGTTGGACCTCACTGGTCACGACTTCTCATCAGAACTCCAGGAAACTACGTCCTGTAGAATGTCACTAGCGAGCATCAGATTAATTTTCAAGAGTTGGTTTGTGTACTGCCGATGATTCCCAAGCTAGAATGAAACAGCTGTCCAGTACTCCCTGGTTTTCAATGGTTCTCTAGCTGATATCAATCCGTGGTCAAACTCATATTTATTTATGTGAATAACTAACGTTACTGTACACAACTCCGACCTACGCCCTAACCCACACGTTGTTTTGCTGCAGAGTGCACAACGCAGTTAGTCGTATTTTGTATTTCAAGTATTTTTTCAATTTCTCTAATGCTTTCTAAATATGCGGTTTTCATTATGTTCCGAAATGCCGGTCGCCTTATCTAAAAATGTTGTGTGAATTGTCTGTTCACTGACCAATATGAGGCATGCTCAGCATTTTACGATTACCGTCAGTACCTATTCCTGTATCGTATTGAGCAACGTTGTCATGTTCATAGAATCATAGAATTATATTTAATATAGTTTGAGTTGTAGTGGTGCTTTTAGTGTTCTGTGTGTGTGTTTCTCTGAAAGGTAATCAGCGATATTTGTTTCATTCACGACGACAACCTTAAAAGTCATGTTAGGTGGCGTACTTTCAGTGTATCGAAATGTCCCTCAGTACCATTTTATATCTTAAGCTAGGTACTTTCAGTTTAATGGTCTTGAACTAAACTAGACCACTAATTTGTTAATGTCGTATGTTTTTCTGTTATTTAAATGATACATAATCCTGGTTTATGACCTTAAATACTACCTGGATTGTTATTACTATTCGATTATGTTAATGCATCAACTTATTGTTCAGTGTTTTACAGAGCTTATAGCTCAAATACTCATACAGTCATCATGAACTCCAAAGTTAATGATTTGTTTACTGTTTGTGTGCTATTTGAGTTAATGCACACTATTTTTATATAGCATAGTTACAATGTGGCCTTGTTGTCTTTACCACTTAGAGAAATCTTATAATCAACAATAAAATATAATGACTTCAAGTATTGGTTTATGGGGATTTGGTTGATTGGTTACAGGATTTCATCATGAGCTGACATTGGTTAGAGAACCACTGGAAAACTTGGGAGTACTGGACAGCAGTTTCGTCCTCGTTTGGGACTCTTCAGTAGTACGTACCCACCGGGGTTCGAACCCAGGACCTTCTGGTTGGGTCCCAGTGCCTTAATGGTATGCGAGCTCGCCTTGTAACCATATAGTCCTGAGTTCGAACCCCGATGGGTGCGTACTACTGAAGAGTCCCAAACGAGGACGAAACTGCAGTCCAGTACTCCCAGGTTTTCCAATGGTTCTCTAACCAATGTCAGCTTATAATGACTTCAGCTTATTACCTTTCAACCAACATATAAATCATATTTAATGAAAATGCCAATATCTTCTTCTATACAAGCATTTACAAAAATGATTCGATATAAATTTGCAAGTTTAGAGCAATACAAACGATATATATCGTCGTGTGTTTCGTTAGATCACTCCTCTATATTACAATTAACAGTTACTCTGCAGTTTCAAATGATGAACATGTTGTGTAAACTTAAACCAACTTTAGCTCATCCATACGTATTACATTCATCATACATCCTGTAAACTTGTTAGTTTTGTCGCTATTTATTTGGGCACTCTTTCACAGTATATTATTTTACAGGGAGCTTCAGAGTTTGACGTCTTCTAATAATACATCGCGTTGTAAAGGTAGTCTGCTGCTTCACAATTTCGCTTATATATGTGTATATACATTAATGTCGTTACTTATGGTTGTTGTGCTGTACTCTCCCCTCTTTTCTTTTCTTTCTATCTACATGACTTACCATCTTCAAATGACATTAATTTTGTTAAATATGCTGACGACCTGACAGTATCTTTGCCTGTCAAATGTCAAAGTGAATGCTCTAAACTTGATGGCTTTCTGTCAGAAATCAGCCAGTGGTCCAAGGAAAACGGTCTTACCTTAAACCCCTCCAAATGTCAAACAGTCAATTTCACCTTTAGGCACAAATCTGACCTAAACAAACTGGTTGGCTCTCACGAGGTGTGCAACATAGATGGCACTGAAATAGAAACCAAGTCGGAAATTATATACCTAGGCGTCATTCTATCTGCTGATCCTTCCTGGTCGTCTCATATCTTGGCGATTTGTAAGAAAATATTCCGTCTTACCTTCTACATCAAGAAGTTAAGATATTCTGGTACAACCCGACCCTTAATCCTACAATTCGTTAACTCTCACATTCTGCCTATTATTCTCTATTGTTCCCCCTTAGTTTTCCCGGGCTACTGAAGAAAGACTATAACATATTACGCAGGATGCTAAAGGTTGTCAGCAGAGTAAGCAACGTGCCACTTAACCAGCTTGTTAATATTCTGGTCGACAGGCACATGGACTCATGTGAAAAATGGGCCAAATCCATTTTATATAACTCACACCACCCTCTTCATTCACAATTCTCCCCTTGCATCTCATCAGGGAAAACCAGAAGCCTATATAGAAAACTATATGCTCACACCAGCAAGTACAAAAACTCAACCATACCCTACTTAGCTCGTGTTCTGTGCGATAAGGAACAACCGGATCTCGTCTTTCCAACTCATATCATTTATAGGTACAACATTTTCTTTCTTTCTTTTCCTTTTCTCTCTCTCTCTATTTTTTCCGTTATGTGTTGCTTTGTTTCTTTCTCTTGCTTACGCCAGTAAATATGACAGCACCTACTTTTCTAACACCTTCAAACACTGTACAACTTTGCTACCGACATGCCAATGTGTTGTTGTCATAATGAACTGAGATTTCCTTAATCTATGTAGAATTTTATTTATTGATAATGTACTAACTGGATGCAATACTGTAGTAGAAATGCTGAGAATTCCATTCTGTATCACAAGTACTGTTTTGGAATAAAGCAAATTATTATTATCATTTTTCTTATTGTTTTGCTATGATGAAACGCTACCAATGTTTCTTTTTTTTCTACCTGTATTTTCAGTATGCTTTTATTGATACGGAAACGAGCGAAATTCTTAAAGGTCTTGAACATACCTGTGGATTAATAATAAGGTATAACCGGCCTATTCATCAAAATAGTCTACGGGATAAGAAAATTTTTTTAACAACAATCGTATATGCATCAAATACACATGCCTACTTTCGTGGCACACAGAGAAGATAATTTCTATTTGAAGGGTTCGGTATGATTTCGTTATACACATTTCAATTTTACTTTTGTACTTTACATCACCTCATTTTCTTTTCCACCTGAGTTTTTCTTTCGTTTTTTTTAAATAAAAAAAGTGTTTTCATTATTGACAATTTTCTTAATCGTTCGTTTTTTTTCATATGTACATCGTGTTACTTGTTGTATTCACATATAAGCGTATTTGCGTGTATGTGTGTGTATGCGCATGTACAAGTGCGTTTTCGTGGTTCCATTGTTTCTGCTGCATAGTGATGAATACATACAATGATGTTGGATGTGATCAAGACACTTGTGTAAGTGAAGTGAATGTGAAATTACGATTGTATTCACGCGCTTTAATCATCATGCAAATATTCTTTTATGCAATATATATCTTGTTTATTATTTCATCATTCAACAGAGTAATTTAACAATTTTTATTTGCTTATTTATTGCTTATCATTTATTTGTCATTTTTATTTCTGCCTACTTTAATAATATTCATTTGATTATGTATTTTATTGTGAAAAATAAGTAACCATTTGTCAAATTGTGTTAGTGAAAATTTTATAATTCGATTGTCTAATAAATCCACTCTCACCTACGCCACCACCTGTCTCTACTTATCTGTGAGTTGTAAAGAATTATGAAACGCTTAATTCTTCCTATAAAACGACTATTAATGCTTCTTTTGTCATCTTTCCATCAGTTGTGTGTTCTGTGCTGCACAATTAAAATGGTCTCTCTTTTGTGATTACCTTTTTACCCATTTTTTTTCAGAGAAAAACAAAGTGTATTATGCTTTTAGGAAGTTGAGTATTTTGCGCACAATACATTCTACAACATGATTATGTAATTTTGTCTATCACAATACGTGTGTGTTCGTGTGTATGTTTTCGAAACTTCACTTTCTTTCTTAAGGTGATTTTGGTTTAAGTTTTCTGTTCTATAGGTTCATGTCAGTTTTTATATATTGGGACAACAATTAATGGAGTGAATTTGTACCACATAAGATTTCTCTGTCACTAATATTTTTTCTACCCTGCATACTAACAAAAATTATTATCTTCCTTATTCTTTATTAAAATTCAATATGAAAATCTACAACTTAAAAGTTGTCTCACGATAAGAAAATGTGTCGTTATCTATGGCTATTTTACTCTGCCTTAGTTTTATGAAGTCGCTGTCATCAGATAGTCATTATATGCACAGAAATGGAGCGATGGAAAGCTTTTTTCTCTTTTCAACTGGGTTTGACTCAGGTTTTATGTCAGTTTGCGGGATGTTTGTGACAGTTACTTATCATGTGCTTTACATACATACATACATGCACTATACAAAATCAATCAAAGAGATTTTGGATCTCTACTTTGGGGTTTAGGTGTGCTTTCAAAATAATTTCAATTTGTTGTGCAATTTGAAATTCATCATCTCTATTTGTCCATTGTTTATCTTGTTGGTTTTAATTTCATGAAAATAAAAAAAATGCTGATCATTTTCATACTTCCTCTGTGTGTTTTTGTTTGAATAGTTTTCGTATTCTTACTCGGTAGGCATACATACAATTGCTATACTATATTTACTTTGAAAATGTTCGTTCACTTGGCTGCATTTTCACAATGGCAACACAGTGCCTAAATAACGTGTTTTTGGAGCAACTAATTAATGTTGCCTTTTGCGTTGAATCGATCGGGAAAGCCCTGTTTACTACATTCGTCTGACAGTGAGCGCAGTCCTCATAAAAGCAAAAGGCAAACAGCGAATGTTTAGTGCTGAAGGATGCATCAATTTGGATAGAACGTGTCCACCACCGGGAGATGCTGGAAGATCCTAGTTTGAAACCAATCGTAGACAGGATCCTAAGTCCTGAAGAAACGAGGAAAACCTATTGAACTCCATAAAAATATAAGTAAGAATTCCTTTCAAAGGCTGTGCGATTTATTCAACGCAACAAACACCTGTTTTGATTCTGTTGTCCTCCTGTCATAAATTATACAGTCTGATTTTGAAGTGATGCTAGAAATTTTGCAATTAAATATCAGAGCAATGCGGTTTCGAGGTTACAATTTGATCTCACGTGCCTAAAAGACCTTATGCAATTTAAACACAAATGCAATCCAATAAATGGCCTGAAGCCTTGCTCGTTTAGCAGTAACAGTGAGCCGGTTCTTAGATGTGATGAATTAAAATGCAGTATATATTATGTGGTGAGAGCTGTCTACTAGCCAAATTTGGTACACAGTAATTCACGTCAATGTTTACGTTCCCAAGATTTGTCGTGAGAAAATGTGAACAAAGATTGATTCAAAACCGACCACAGCAGACTTTGCGTAGGCGGATGCAGTTAACATATAGATGATTTGACATTCAAGAAACAGTCACGAAGAGATGAAAGATTAACTTTACGTGAGAAACAACCAATCGGAAGACTGTGTTTGTTTGCTTAAATATCCATGGTAATGTACATGAAAATATATAAATGTGCGTTGATTTCCTTAATAAATGATCTGTTGCCTGACTCTTGCCTTCTGTCATTACAATTATATATGTCTAAACCAAGTTCACTTTTAACAGTTTGAAAAAATTTGGGCATTGGGTATATGATATTCATTATAATAAAGGTTCTTTTTGTATTTCCCAATGAATGAAAAACAAAACGATATTGCTGCTTTTACTGCCGTTTCACTATTTAATGCTGCTAATAGCTTTATCAAAGTATTATTAAACCGGAATTTACAAAATCTCAGCTTATATATAACAAAGAGCGAAGAGGTGAGAAAATAGACGTAGGTCAAGTTAAAGGGACATATTGAAAGTCAAAATAGCAATGAAGATCACTAAACCAAATAACAAAGGTAATAGTACGTCTGTTATGATATCAAAATAAAGTTTACTAACTTGATCATCGTTCGTCTGTCTGGGGGCATTTTTAGTTGTCAAGTTGGTCAATTGGTACAGATAACAAAACCAAGTGTAGATTGTTGGGTTTGATCAGTGTGTAACATTATAAAAGTAGTGTGTGTTTACATAGTGGACTTGCTTATCACATTCGTGTTGATTTTGTCACTTCATGGGGGGGGGTGTTGTAACCAGGTCAGATTCTGTTTTAGTCCATCGCTCCTGGTTACAACACCTCCCTCCTCTCCCCCATGAAGTGACAAAATCAACACGAATGTGATAAGCAAGTTCACTATGTAAACACACACTACTTTTATAATGTGTTACACACTGATCAAATCCAACAACCCACACTTGGTTTTGTTATGACAACACACTAGTCAACTGGGTTTACAAGTGTTCAAAAGTCGTTAAGTATATCACGAATAACGACGTTCAAATCAATTATTGATGTATATCTTGTTCTAAGAGACAAACACTGAGCTCATACTTTGCAGCAATTGATAGATAATACAAATTTCGTTTAGTCTGTTAACGAACAATCCTCAGAGGTACGGTATGTGTTTTGTACTACTAGAGTGAAGCATTCATCTATATCCTTGCTGGTAAACTTCTCGAAGTAACTGATTAGTGAACATTTCCACTTAGTCGGGGCATACAAGTGTGTACGTGAAGTGAAAGATGAATCACCACCTACCAAAACAAGAATAACAGGCTGTGATCTCGATGGCTCTGTGCGTATACTAGTCTGATTGCAAAAAAATGAAATGCAGCAAGAAGTTCTGATTTTCCCACATAATCGTCCAATACGAGCTGTACATAATAAATTGTAATGTGGAGTTTGTTATTAGTTTCTACTTTTCATTCGGGTAAAACTGAGAAATACTAATATATGGCTATGGAATACCGTGTGTGGACTTCAAACAAGTGATAAAATTTCCAAACACATGACAATAAATACCTACAACCATGGCCATTTAATTCTGATTAGTTTTTCTATGTGATATGATTTCAGAGATGTGGTGGTGCACAACAGATATATTGATGTTCTGGATAGGCGTAGGTATAAGTTATTACAAAACAAACCTGCCGCGCTTCGTCTCAATCTACCTGAATAGGTAGGTAGGTAGAACGGAGGCAGTCACTTACGGCTTGAATTTCTTCAGGTTATTGATCGCTGTATTGCGTGCTTAACAGGACTTTGTAAGCATATCAGATGTAATTTTTGGCTGTTTTGAAGATGTTTCATCCACCTTTCTTACGCAGCTGGAATATCTGTTGTAGGGTTTGCTATGCTACGTGCGAAAACACTTCCCGATAGCTTTTATCCTCACTCGTTCTGGATGCTGTTACAGTGAGACTGAAATGTCATAAAATGTTTAGACGGTTTGACTCGTGACAGAGTGATCACTTTAGATATAATAACTAATTTGGTGTATACTGACTAAAGTAATATGGAAACAATTTCTAAGTATTGGTTTTGTAGGGATGTTTTTTTGTTTGATTGGTTGGAGGATTTCATCATGAGCTGACGTAGGTTAGAGAACCATTAGAAAACCTGCAGGGAGCACTGCCAGACAGCTGTTTCCTCCAACCTAGTTCAGGACTCTTCATCAGTACACACCCACAACCAGGGTTCAAATCAAGGACCTTCTGGTTACAAGGCGAGCTAGCTCGTAGACCATTAAACCATTGGGACGCAATCCAATGGTTCTCTAACTGACGTCAACTCATGATGAAATCCTCCAACCAATGAAACAAAAAAAATCCCTACAAAACCAATACTTGAAAATTGATCTGATACTCACTAGCGACTGACTGACCCTATTCAGGCAGTTACTTGGGGTTCTTGTGGGAAGCCGTGGCCAGTAGGGTACAGCAGGCTGAAAGTGAGGACGGTTACTCATCGAAGAAGATATTGCGAGATGGTCGCTCTATGTCATGAATTGACAGAAGTTGGAATTCATGGACTGGCCATTGGATCGCGTCCCAGTGGCTTAATGGTCTACGAGCTAGCTCGCCTTGTGAGCAGAAGGTCCTGGGTTCGAACCTTGGTAGTGGGTGTGTGGTTGTAGGAGTCCCAAACTAGGTCGGAGGAAACAGCTGTCTGGCAGTGCTCCCTGTAGGTTTTCCAATGGTTCTCTAACTGATTGTCAGCTCATGATGAAATCCTCCAACTAATATGGAAACAAACAAAAAGGTTAGTAAAGAGTTGCTTGTTGTGAAACAAAGCAACATTTGAATTAACAAGACTATCAAATGACTGAGTTTTATTTTCTTTTGTTCTTTCAAACTACAAAATATTGGCATGTGTCGAAATTAGGTTTTATTATATTTACTTTCTCAATAATTATATATATACGTTAGTGGTAAACCGTTCGTCCGGGATTCGACTCCCGGTCGTTGGTGTGCTCCTAAACCTCGCTTAGCAAGTAGATAGAGAAGGTTGGACGTGAGACTAGCAACCCAACCCCGTAAAAATAAGACCATGGCTACTGAAACTTCATAGCAGCACCATTTTTAAACTTGTGTGAGACTATAAAACGTATTACCTTACCCATATGTCTTGCATATCTCATTTAATAATAATATTATATAGGTTTGCGTGTGTAAAGTTTTAAGATTTCAACATGTCTATAAAGCAGGTGTTCCCTATACATATATATGTAAATAAAAGCAATGTAAACTACCGCATGTTCAGTATTTCTACTTGTAGTAATAATGTACATTAGCCAACAAAAATGAGGAATTAAAAAGCATGCAGTAGGTAAGTTAGTCTTTGAAAAAAAAGACAACGTTAAATTGCACTGAGATTTCATTGATTTAGTAGTAGCGAGGATTGTATGAATAATATACCAGGTTAAAATTCTTCTCAGGTTACTATCAATCATGATAAGTAGAAAAAAATCAATGAAATACATTTGATAGTGTGGATTATTAGATCTATGTCAAATTTGTGAACTGAAATCCAGAAATATATACATGTTTATATACCAAAGTGAATCAATCACGGAAGTAATTAGATATCACTATCTGAGATTAAAACTAACCTAAATAAAAGCACTTCAGTCAGTAAAAGAGATCTGTTTCTGGACTTAATCACATCACGTGGAAGGATTTTACCAAAATACAAAACTAAAGGAAATAAACCTCATTAACACACATTAAGAAGACAGGTGACTACGCAAAATGTAAGCTTAGAAAATGAGTGAGAAAAGATAGTTTTTGTGGATTCTAAATCGTTGAAGTTTCAACTACATAGCAAAGGTAGTCTTTTGACCATACTATCTCATTTTAGAGGAAATGATGGTATTTTATGGTCTAGATAAAGTGCATTATCCGTAACTGGGGTCTGCACTTCTTTAATACAGAATTATAAAAACGAAAGAAGCAAATTTCTAACACTTGTTTTAGGGCTTCAGTTGTAAGAACTCAACATTCATGCATATTTTTTGTGATAAATTGGTGTCTAAATTGATCCATCTATGTCCCATGTTACTAAGACACTTCGAAATCACTGTCAGTAAAATCATTCGTTATGATTATGTTCAGCGGATTCCCAGATGATTTCATTCTAGTTTCACTAATTACTTGAACGATTAACTATAAAATATGTCATGAATGTCTATCTTTTGTTATACACTTTGACATACTATTACTACTGTTCCCTTGGGACTTCAACAATATGTCTCCACTTTATCCTATTTCCTGCGGTCCTCTTTAGCTAGCCTCACGATTGCCTATAGTCTCTCATCTCCTCTATGTCACCCTCGAACGTCCAACTAGCCGTTCCCGATTCGAGTTCCACTCGAGGTTAAGTCTGTCGCGCCATGTCATTCCATGGTCTCCTCAGTGTGTGCTCAAATCCATCCCCATTTACTTTGGCTCATTTTTTGGGCAGTAGGTTCTTAGTTGGTTTGTTACCAGAGTTTTGTGCTGCTAACTCTTTCTCACCGACCATTTGATCTTCAATGTGCAGCTAGCGAATGCAGCTCTTGACAAAAGTCTGCTACCTGTTGGAAATGCCATTCGTGACGCGCTAAGTTTCACACATACAGAAGAACTAAACGACTTAACATTTGTGTTAAAAATCCGAATCCTGTTCTTTATGCTGAGTTAGTGCAGAAGATTTCCAAACCGATTTCAGATTGATGAAGGCGTGTCTTGCCTTTCTGATTCTCGCTTGCTTTGACATCTTCATCCGTTCCGAGTGCTTGTAGTTGAAACGAAG